AACCTCTATGGTCCATAGTTTTCACTGTTTCCCCCAGAAACATATACCCTCTCCTTTCTCTAAATCCCAAATCCTATGGCCCAAACTGGAAACCAAAAGAGTGGCTTTTGTCGTGACTGGAATGGTATGATGACCTGTTTCCCTGAATCAACCTTGACGAGACAAGCCGCAAGACTCCCTTTTTGACAATGGTCCGAGGCTTGAAAGATAATTATGGTGTCATTTTCCCAGGATCACTAACCCTGCCCTGCTCAAATTGTAAAAAAAAAAAAAAATCTTTTACGTTGTTTGCTGTGTGTGTGTGTAGGGGGGGGGGGGGGCGGGTGGCATGGGCACATAACAATTCGGAGTTTACCAGATAAATCCGAATTGACAAAAATTTTACCGGCGGATGTTTTTCGGAGTTTTTCAGATTTATCCGAAAACACGGAGCCCTAAATATAACCCACCTCTTTATACGGTGGGCACATGGCCCTCCCCGAAGCATACTTCCAAAAGGCTGCACACCATAGATCGCGATCATCTGGGGCAGGTCCGAGGTAGTGACGGTGTCATGTAGCGTCAAACTGACTTCTCGTTTCATGGTTTCCATGTTTTCCATGGTGTCTCGCCTCTTCTTCCTGACGACGCTTCGGACTTTGCCGAACGGCTCAATGGCCTCCTTGGCACGCCTCTCTTCTAAGTAGGTTCGCAAGCCAATGACCTTTGCACTGATGTCCTCGGAGTTCGGGGTCCAACACCAGGCACTTCTTTCCTTTAACCTTGAGCTGCCCAGATTGCTTCACCTTCGTCTTGGCGGCCATGCTTGCAAACATGGCAATCCAGATATTGCTCATTTGAAATTGGGCGACTGAGATTACTTCGCCCACGCGGACGATGTCCTTGAGTCCGTCTCGTAATTCAAGGGCTCGGTACGGTCGTTCCTTAAAGGGGTACTCCACCGATTTTTTGAGCTACCTCAACTAACTATATTTTCTGACTCCCCGGCCTTTACTCTCTCCGGTATACTATTTAGGATCGCGAAATTCATAATAGTTATTGCGAAATCGGCAAATGAAAATGATGCAAAAACCAACATTCAAATATACGCGCGCTTTTCAGGGCCGTGACGTCAGTGGCAGGCAGGCTTGCCAGTCGAGCAAGGAGCCAAAAAATAGAATATGCCAATCATTTGTTCCGTGCTGGAGCGCGGGTACTGCAGCGAGCTTCCCAAGCATTCATTTGACACCATGAAACTGCTTCGAATCAGTTTAAAACAAAATCTACAGCCCAAAGAGTGAACCCCTGCTTTCCACTGACGTCACTTTTTCATTGTTGCCAGTAGAGACTTCGAGCTTGAAAAACACGGTGAGGACCAAAACTGTAAATTCAATAACTTCGCGGAAAAACAATATTTTGACCTAATATTTGGGATACTATTTTCGCGATGTTTGTTGGTTAGTTTAGCAAAATTTCAAGCAAATCGGAGACGATGAAAAAATCGGTGGAGTAGCCCTTTAAATCAGCGTGCAATAAAACAGAATTCCTGCACATCGCTCCGTCCGGAAAACCGGTCAGCAAAATATGGATGCTCATCACCGCTGCTGCCGCATTATTGATGCTTCCTCGGTCCAGAGAGGCCGATAACGCACCGTTATCAGTGCTCGCAATACTTCCATCCGCTCTCATTGGAGGTCAGAAGCGGCGCCACGAGTGGTGAACGAGAGCGCAAACTGCTGCACTAAGCACACTGTAACAAAAAGCCAGTGGGCCTACTTTTCCGCACAACACTCAGAGAGCCAATCACTGCAAGTTACGGAGGCAGCTCAGCGAATGGCAATGTTGAAACATATGTTTAAACCCAAAACCGCACTCGAGTTGTGACATTAATCAATGCATTACGTCACGCTTGCATTGCTTAATTTCACAACTCAAACTGCGTTTTTTTTTTTAAGATTAAAATATGTTTCCGCATTGTAGTTCGCTGAGCTGCCTTCGTAAGTTGCGGTAATTGACTCTACGAGTTTTGTGCGGGAAAGTAGCCGCCCTGGCTTTTTTCTAGTGTATGACTTGCCACTGGCGGTCATCTGCTGTAGCACGCGACTGTTTACGGCGAGTCATACTTAGTCCAACATAGGTACGCTCAAATCCGACCACAGCCGACGCTACAATAGAGTACTTCCAAAAATCGAAGCGCCTCATCGCAGCGTAATGCCACTTTTCGATTTATTTTTAGAAGGTATTATTGCAATTTTTCATTGACAACCTGCATGTCATCGTTAGGGCCTGATTATCTTTCCTTCAGGCGTACTGTCGAGCGACTAAAACTTTTACGTTGAGTTGTTAACGACCACAACACATTCCCATCCTTTAAACACTATTCCATTCCTGCCTCACGCGATCTGTTTTCAAAATCATTTTGCACACTCACAATAGCACTTTAGAATAACCCAGACGGGTCAATTCGTATGCTGCCTTATGATGCTTTTGTTTCTTCAATTTCCACAATTAACTTTTGATTAATATGCGACTTTCCTTTTATGTTTCTTAATTTTAAGGTGATTTTGTCTGTAAATTGTTCTGCATGTTTTATGCTTTTTTACATTATTTTGTTCTTTTTACCCACTCAAGCAATGACCTCCATTGAGGTCGCAGTATTTAAAAATAAAAATAAATTTCCCTGCGGACACGCTTCCCAGACAGGCGTAAGTGAAAACCCAGTCCGAGTTTCTTTCTTTTACTATTATTAATTATTTACGTTTTCCGAACCTGCCGACCTCTCCGATTGGTCGTTCGTGTTGCAGATGAGGCTGTCGTCATAGCTACAGATCCCTCTCGCGGAGATTGAGAGCTTCCGGGATGCCGGAAGTTCGAGTTTTCCCGGACGTGAACGTCAGCTTCCTCCTCTCAATTAACAACGCGTTTGTGAATACCGATTTTTCCTCCCCTTCCGGTGTTCGTAACCTAGGAACTTCTTAGCTAAGTTCCCGTAGCTTAAGAAGCTCTTCGTGAGTCTGGCCTCTGATGTTTCATTGGGTTCGTCGTTCCCGTAGATTCGACGGCGCTTGTTTCGATCGGGAACGGTTGCCGGTGTGCACGACTAGCATATGATCATAGCACACGCATTACGTCATGACGCATACTTTTAACTCCCCCTTTGGTGGTTCATCGAGCATCCAGCTTTTGCCGGCACAGCTTGCATGTGCGTCCGACTTGTTAGGCCTACGAACCTTCTCGGAGGTAGCGCGTCCTCGGAGCAGTCCAGGTCCACGCACGCACTCGCCCAGTAGAGCGCACGAACGTTAAAAATGGACCCCAAGAGGGGAACACGAGGACAGCACACGGTAAGAAGGGTAGGTTCAGGTAAGCATAAACAAGAAGGTAGGTTCCCAAACATTTTGCCTTTAACACAATAAAATTCACAACATGCAAAAACTAAGTATATGTATTGAACTCCGTAATCTCCATTGTTCCAGGGGAAAAAACGCAAGCAAAAAGGGTCCGCATGTCTTTGGTTTCGTAATTGCCGTATGATAAAAAAAAACGGTATTGAAATCTGGAACTAGATATAGTTCATAAATGATAGCTATTACACAGTATAGCACCAAAAACACATTAGCCGCCTCGGTGGCTCCGAGGCGAGAGCGCTGGCCTACGGATCCCAATGTGGCGGGTTCGAATCCCGGCCGAGGTGCCCGCAATCTGACGGTGGATTATTGCGGAGGATGCGCCGTGTAACCGAGCTTTCGGTTGCACGTCAAAAGATCCCCAGGTGGTCCAAATTAATCCTCAGTCCTCCGCTGGGGCTTGCCAGGCGCCCGTCGTTGGTTTGGCGCGTAAAACCCTCAAAATCGACTTGACCAAAAACACTTAAAGGGGTCACAGCACGCCAAAAATAAAATATGAGATAACTATACTGATAGGACCCATTGTACGTTCCTATAATTCCTCTAAACTTGTTTTGAAAATGGCGCGACAGTTTCGTGGATAAATCGATTTATATGCGGGTCCATCGGAGGGGCGGACCGGGCGGAGCTGGAGGCCGGCTACATAGCCAGCCTCCACCGCGGTGTCTCCTTGCACGCACTCACAGACGTGGCTTTCTTGGCGTCTCGAGCCTCAGCTTCCTCGTTTACCTTCCGCGTTTCGAGCATGCGGTCGGTGACGATTACGTCTATGGCATCGGTTGCCTTGTCAAAGTATTCGTCATTCATCGCAGCAGCGATGAGAGTGATTGCTATCAATATATGTTGGAAGCTGTTCATTTTGACTGCGACCCGCTGGCGACCAGCTCCAGCGACGACGAGTTACGGACGAACTAACCATGGTCGCCGTCGTCCGGGCACATCTCGCAGGCGCATGCAGGGTGGAAGATCAACGGGCCGGGGGCGAGAGCGAGAATAGCTTTCGGGTTACCGAGTTCGTGAGTGGTTTTGATCGTACCGCGGCGAGGGAGAGCTTGGGCGATCATGGGGGCGCCTAGAATGAGAGAGCGTTTATGGTCACGTGGTTTATGGAAACCATGGTGTGACTAACTTGGACAGTCTTGCCTTGTCGCCAGATGAAAATGATAAAAATTCGTAAATTGAACATTGCAATTACCAGAGCTCTAAAAATCGCGTAACTTGGTGTATATACTAAGTAGCGTATGAGCATTTCATTTCAAGAATAACCAATTAGTTTAATTTTCGTGTCTTAACCCCTTTAAAGCACTTCAGTGCACTTTTAAGGAACTGGACCTCATCGGCAATTTTCAGGATGCAGTTGGGACTTGTCATGCATTGTCTGTGTCAGCTTTTAGCCACTGCTACTATCATAAGAGTAAAAGGAAACATTCTTTCATTCATGAATTCAATCTTAAGACAAACCCTACAAAACTATATCAGTTTTACGCGTGTGCTTGTATTTTGAGAACTGGAATGTTGGCCGATATAATTAACGTTAATGGTTTTGACGAAGTTTAAAGAACAAAATGTATATGTAATTTTAGTACTCAAAGCTCATCTTATATTTCTTTTCAGAAATATGATCGCACTCAGAGAGTGGCTTAAAGTCGGCACTGCGGTTTTTAAATGTGGAACGCGCAGACCGAAGGCTTTTTCACCAAAGACAAGGTTAGAAGACCTCAATTTCTTCTCTTGTTGCGAGCAAACATTAGAAGCGTGAAAGGTTAAAATGCCTCTTCGTAGATCAAGACACCGAGGCATGACGAACACGTCCACTGTCAGACGAGTGTCAAATGTGTGCATCGCCGGGAATACATCCTCAATCACGTTGTGCCGATGATGGCTTAATGTCAGTAAAGAGTCGTTTGAAGTTGGGAATGGCCGCTCGGTACAGACAGGCCTAGTTCCTGCCTTGGTGTCTTCAGTGAGGATGGGATCGGGACGAATTGAATAAAGTCCGAATGGTGATGTATTCAAATATTTCGTTGCACAATTTAGTTCTATGAAGTATACACATCTAATTATTAGTACAGATATTGGAAATGCGGCACCATGGACTCGCGATGAAGCGCTCAAGTCCACACCAAAATAGCACTTCCTCACGCGTCCGCGACTCGTGTAGGGGTTCACCTTCTTTCTCTCTGCCACGCACGAGACAATCAGTTTGATCCTGTACGGCCTGACAATTTCTGAACGGTACCACATCATGGACTACCACTGAATGAACGGCAGGCAAACGACACAATTATTCTTTGCGCTTTTAACAAAGACTACGGAAGAAGAAGAAGAAAATTAGGTGTTTAATGGAACAGCGGCAACTAAGGCCATGGTGTGCCAAACACAGGGTAGGTTAAAGGCAGTACTGAAAAGACCTATAGTATGTGCTTCCATTAAAAATATGGGGAAATAATGTTTAAAAGCTTTGTAAGATACAGGCCTATTAAGGCCTCCAGAAATATTTAACCGATTCTCTGCTAACCAGAGGCACTCTAAATGAATTTCATTCACACTAGGGAGTTGGGGAGAATGTGCTAACGATAGAAGATCGCCGGCTCTTTGCCACCGCTAATCTTCAGGCAAACGTAATAGAAATGAAAACAAATTAAAATTCATAGCCGATGTAGTATGCCAATGCTATCGAAAAACGTAAACACTTGACGGTGCGGCACAAGCGGTTCGTCACTCAATAATAATGCCGGGTGAAACGGGACGTGATTGCGGAAAAAGGTAGAGAAAAAAATGGTGCGTTCGTGATGGTACTTACAACATGTGATAAGAATATGCATGACACTCAACGACTCGTTACAGTGTTCACATTTCGGAGCTGCCTCTTCCCGTGTGAGGTACCCACGCGTGAGAGGGGTGTGTCCCAAACTCAGACGACAGAGCACAACCTCAAAGAAGCGCTCCCTGTGTCGGCAACTTGCCCATTCCCGTAGGGTAGGTTTCACGCAATGAAGCTTGTTGTCTATTTCCGTGTCCCATTCTAACTGCCAGTTTTTCTGGATTGCCCTTTCAAGACTGTGTTTGTAGTCAGTGTATGGAATGCATTTGATATCCACTTGCCCCTCAATGCACGTACTGGCAGCTCTATCAGCATCCTCATTTTCCTGTATACCGACATGACTAGGCACCCAACATAAATTGATATGTAGCTGTGATTTTACTGCGGTCTGCACATTGCTCCGGAGCCTACAAACGAAGGTATTCTTCGGTACTTCCAAAGACGCAAGCGCCTTTGATGCACTGAGAGAGTCAGAGTAGAAAACAGAATGCTGGATAGCGTTTTCTATAATGAATTCAACAGCTAAAATTAAAGCATATAATTCTGCAGTAAAGATTGAGGCTCTGACATCAAGACGCCTAACAACCTTCCATGTCTCGCTTATAACAGCACGACCAACAGAATCACTCTTACTACCATCTGTGAAGAAACTCCTGCAGTCACTGTACGTATAAGCAACCTGGGAAAACTCCTGCTGCAGGGCAGCAATAGGAGTTTGCCGCTTATTATATTTGATCAGAGTCAAATTGATTATGGGTGCTACGCACTCCCAAGGAGCCACTGCCAGTGGAAGTTGGGCAACTAGGCTGAACCTGTCAAGATTGTAAGCCTGTGAATATGCTTTAATTCTCTGCGTAAAAGGGGGTACGACAGATGGATTGTTCTGGAATGTAGTTTCATAGCGAGAATCCAGAATTTCTTCCTGGATCGGATGAGAAGGGATAGAGCGAATTCTTAATGCATACTGGAAGCCTAAATAAAACCGTATTTTTCAAGTGAATATTCATTACTCTCAGCATATAGGCTAGGAATTGGGGACGTCCGAAAAGCACCAGTGGAAAGCCTCAGACCTTGATGGTGGATCGTGTCGAACACCTGAAGGGTAATTTGCCGTGCGGATCCCTACACTACGCATCCGTGATCTAATTTCGAACGAACCAAGCAGCGATAGAGGCGAAGGAGGCATTCCCGATCGCTACCCCAAGACTTGTGTGAAAACACCTTTAGGAGGTTCATTGACCTTGAGCATTTCAGTTTCAGGTAAAGTACATGACTACGGAAATTCAACTTGTTTATCAAATATCACTCCTAGAAATTTGTGTTCATTACGAACAGGAATTGCCTGCCCCCTTAAGGGCAGACTAGGCTCTAGGATCATGCCCCTACGTTATGAAAAGTTGGCACATACTGACTTCTCTGGTGAAAAACTAAACCCATTGGCATCAGCCCACCTGATCAGACTATAAACTTCCAGCTGAGGTTGTCTTTCGTTGACCAAAATGTTACACGAACAGCAAGAGGTCTGCAAGTCATCCACGTAAAGAGAATAGGAAAGTGATTGTGGGATAGACTTTGCAATAGAGTTCATTTTCATTAAAAATAGTATTACGCTAAGCACACCACCTTGTGGAACTCCAATCTCTTGGACAAAACTACGAGAGAAGGTTGTACCAAGCTTCGCATGAAAGTATCTCTCTTCCAAAAAAACTTTTGATGAGTGAGAGCACTCGGCCACGAATTCCGTACGAGACAAGATCGTTCAAAATTCCATACTTCCATGTTATGTCGTAAGCATTCTTTGTATCAAAAAAGACAGAAACACAATGCTGTCTATTAACAAAAACATCACGAATAGTTTTCTCAAGTCGGACGAGGTGGTCCACCGTTGATCTGTGGGCACGGAAACCGCACTGAAACTTGTCGAGGAGGTTATTTTCCTCTAGAAAACGGACCAATCTTGGGTTTACCATCCGTTCAAAGGTTTTCCCCAAGGAACTTGTGAGGGCTATGGGCCGGTAACTTGAGGGTAATAATGGATCTTTTCCTTGCTTTAGGAGCGCGATAACCTCAGCTCTTTTCCAAGAATCTGGGAAGACACCTTCTCTCCAGATCTGGTTAAAAATGTTTAAAAGCGCCTGCAGGGTATTGGAATGCAAATGCTTGAGCATACAGTAGTGAATTCAATCTGGTCCCGGGGAAGTATTTTTACTTTTATTTAACGCTGCCTGTAACTCTCGAAAAGTAAATGGTCTATTATACGGCTCTCGTAATCTTCCAGAGCAATTTATTTTATCTTCTCTATAACACTTTTGTGCTTTAAAATGCAGCCGAGTAATGCGATGAACCTAATACAGATGCAAAGTGCTCCCCTAGAATATTGGCCTGCTGCTCAAGCCTAGACAGTGAACCACCTGGCATAACAAAAAGTGGTATCGAGAAGGCTCGATAATCCCCATTAATGTTGTGCACTTTTTTCCAGACAACTTTTACACTGGTGTGACTATTAACGAAGGAGGTGTATTTCTTCCATGTGGTCTTTTTTGATTGACGACGAACATATCGAGCCTTCGCTCGAGCCTGTTTGAAGGTTAAAACATTTGAAGGGGTCGGGTACCGGCGTAGCACATCCCATGCACAATTTTTTTTTTTCAGTCTCACTGCACTCCTTAGTCCACCAAGGTTTTGGCTTAACAGGAAGGCGTCTAGAAGACTGCGGAATAGCTTTGTGAGCTGCCTCAATAATAGAGGCAGTAAGGCATTCGCAGGCACCATTCACGTTGAAGCCAATTAAAGTTTCAGGATTTGATTCAGATGAACTTTCAAACATAACCCAGTTTGCCTGGTCTACTTTCCAACGTGGCGGAGGTGTCATGAGAGAGGATGAACAAGCAGTGCACTTTAAAATAATGGGGAAATGGTCGCTACCATATGGGTTAGCAGGCACATGCCATGAAAAGTTAGGAAAAACTGTGGCAGTCCCAATAAAGAGGTCAATGCATGATGAAGAAAGGTGTTGACAGATAAAAAAGGTAGGCTCACCAGTGTTAAAAGGACAAAGTGTTCGCAAGAATAAAACAGTCTCGATCAGTTTCCCTCGGATGTCACGAAGTGTGCTCCCCCATAGAGGGTTGTGACAATAAAAATCACTCATCCGACCTTTCAAAAAATGAAAGGTCGGATGAGTGTGCAGGAAAGATCATGTCGTTCAAGAGTTAGTGTGACAGATGCATTTTGACATGGACCTGAAGGAGCGCCGAAAACTGCAGCGTGACAGACTGGAGTAGTTTCTGCACCTCCTTTTACGCATGGGACCACGAATAGCGAGACAAAAGCCAACAAAACACAATGATAGACCATTCTTGTTTTGTTTTTTTACATAGGAAAATAAAAACCTTATGTCGTTGCCACAGTAAACGCTTTTGGAGTCAGTTCTCGCCCACTTTTTACGAGAGAAAAGCGCTCGGCTTTTTGAGTCCACGCCTCAGCTGACTAAAATATTATTTTAATAATATTCCTTTTGACAAAAATGGATGGTTTTCGATGGTATTGAAGGTAAAAAAATGACATGGGTAGCTGGCATAATCAGTCGACAAGGTGCACTCTATGGAAAAAATGCTCTGAAAACAAAACTTACGACAATGTCTTCTAACTTTTCACTTTATGAACTGACTGAAATATTAAGCTACATGGCAACCTAAATGGGAAAAATGTTGGGGTGAAAACATTCAGAAAACATGGTGAGCAATAGAAGAAATCGTGGGGCGGAACCATTGCGCTAAGGCAGTCAGACAAATAAATACAATAAAAAAAACTCATATTGTCATTATGATAGGAGTCGAGTAGTTCATATCAATACACTTTCACACACACACTTGTAGAATCA